CAGCCAGGTCTTTTCTACCATTGGCCATCAGGCAAAGCACTCTGGTAGAGGTATGGTGTATTAGTCTGTTTGGGTTGGTTATAACACAGTACCTGAAACTGGGTGATTTATAAAGGAAAATGAAATTTATTGCTTACAGTTTCTGAGGCTAGGAAGTCCAAAGTCCATCTGGTGGTGGTGACAGTGACCCAGGGGTCTCACATTGCAAGATGGCAGAAGCAGAGAGAGCAGAGAGAGATAGATTCTCTTCTTCTCTTAAAGCCCTCAGAACCACAACCCTCACCATCATTTTTTAATCCATTCACTGTGGCATGGTCCTACAATCCAATCACCTCTTCAAGGCTCCACCTTTCAATTAGCACAATAGGATTTCCTACCCTCTTAATAGTCACAGTGGGGGCTAAGTTTCTAATACATAAGACTTGGGAACACAATTCAAGCTTCAATGAGTTTTGGGGGAACATAATTCAATCCACTACAAATTGTATCCGGCTGCATGGTTTAAACATCAAGAATCCTGCATTCCTTCTGTTCTGTTTAGCTATGACTCATCATAATGTATGCTGTTACCAGCAATGGTGAACAACAACAAAAAAGTGTACCTGGAAGACAGTCTCATTTCTTAAATCTTGTAAACTTGGTTTCACATGCACATGATAGATCTAAGCATTTCAGAAAGTATGTTTTTGTTTTTTTTTTGTTTTTTCCTTTTTGTCTTTTTTTCGTGACCGGCAACGGATTGCAACCCTCAGTGTCGCGCCCATACTGGACCGGGACCGGCAACGGGATCGCAACCCTCGGTGTTGCGCCCGCACCTCGCTCAGCCAGTGAGCGGCTGGTCTGTATGTGGGATCCAAACCCTCGGCGGGAGCGCCGCCCGGCCAGCCCCCGCATTTCAGAAAGTATGAATGCAAGTTTCAGTCAAGATGGCGGAACGCAGGATCCCCAGGGTCATTCTCTCCCACAAATCAACCAATTTACAACTATAAAAATGTAACATCCGCCAAGCTGGGGCCACTAGAGCTCAGGGAAAGTGGAGGAGAGACCTATGGAGTTCACGAAGGAAGGAGAAACCACAATGAGAGAAAGAAAAAACTGCTCTGAGCTTTTCAGGCCACGGATGTTTAAGGCTGCAACTGCTGAGTGCATGGAGCAGGAGCCAGCAGAAGCCACAGCTGTGCCCTTCAGATGGAGTTACTTGGAGGCAGCAGGGGAGAAGAGGGCCTTGAGGGCCCCCAGGACAGCAAGACCACTAATAGGGTTCCCATGAACCCATGCTGGAGCAAGGAGCCAGAACAGCTGAAAAAGGGGAGCCATTCGGAGGCTGGTGAGTCATCATAAAAAACCAGTGCATGGCCCGTCCCATGGGAAGCATTTGGAGCATGGGCGGTATAGGAGATGTGCCCACCAGGAGAACACTAGGACACAGAAAGGACAGCCAATCTGCCCCCCAATCAGTGCAGGACAACTCAGAGGAGACTGGTAAGGAATGCAGAATTGCACGGGGTGCAGTTTGATAAAAAAAAACTCAGGCCCAGATCAAGTTTCTACACAACCCAGGTGCACCAGGTCTCTGGAGAGCTGGAAGTACCTATAAAGTCAACCATTAAACCCTGAGCTGCACAAAAAGACTTCCCTAGGGAAAGAGCAGCAAAGCAGCAATTTAGCTTGACCACACAGCTCAAGTACTGGTTCCCCCATTTTAGAAGTAAGCAAAGGACAAAGAATTAGTCCAGCCCAGGCACACCACCAGTGCCTTGGAGCCCACCAGGGGATATGAGGAATGGAGCCGGGTATCAGATCCCCCTCCCACAACCAGGCACACTGCCAGCACAAAGGAGCATGCCAAAAACATCACCTCCATGTGGGTGGCCCACCACAGCCACCACAATAACCATGGCTGCCGCAAAATCGGCTAGACACCACAACCACCACACAGATGGTCCTCCAGCCACTGGAGTGCATTGACACGAGGAGAGTCACCAGCAGAGATACAAAAAAGAAGAGGACGTCTCTCTACACAAAGCCCATTTCAGAGTGACAGAAGAAGCATCTGCTCTATGATAATACTGGGGGATCTGATCACATCTCTCAGCATTGGACATATCATCTAGGCAATAAATCAACAGAGTAACCATTATTCTTTCAGAAGGAGAGAAGAAATCTAGGGTAAATGGCAGCGGGGGGAGGGAAACAGAGATGGGGAGAGATTGGACAAGTGGCAAAAAGAATAATTAAGATTTGTAACAATATATTTGCTAGTAATATTGATTTGATCAACATATCTCAATGTTGAACCCCAAAATATGTATAATCAATTTTGATTCAATAAAAACTTTTAAAAATAAATAAATTTTAAAAATAAAAAAAAGGAAAGTGTGAATGCCAGAACAGGCCGAGCCCACCTGGCACACCTGGGGATGCAAGGGTTGCATTCCTGTGGGCCATGCTTCTGGAACAAGATGCACTCAGATGGGAGTGTGCTGGAGTAATTGGCCTATGTGGATGGAAACCCCCAGGTCTGTTCACCACAGCTCCTGTTGGCCACATCAACCCTGAGCTATCTTTTTTTCTTTGACTTTAAATTTTATCAAGTTAGCCCTGGCCCCTGATTTCAATCTATACAGACATTTATGAATCCTACTTTTCACATCCAACACAGAAGCTCTCATTCCCTGCCCTGTTCATGTGCAAATTTGATCAATGTCCTTAACCTAGTAACTGATGAAAATTCAAACCAGCCAGAGAAGCCACAATAACCTGCAATGGGAAAATCCTTATTGTACAGTTTATTTAACAAGCCACAATTTTAAAAAGCAATTAAAGGTCTTGCAGACTCCATGAATCACACTTCTACGAAACAGTCCTTTTTACTCTGAGGTTGCAGGACCAAGTACCATCTAATTCTTGGGAAGCTAAAGACAATACTCCAAAAATGGCAATTATAAATGACTGCACATAGCTCAATGCCTCCACAAATCCACCAGGAACACATCTAGAAAACTGTACAATACCTCCAAAGTTCCAAAAAGCCCTGCCTCTACCCACCACATGCTCACAGCAAGGAGCTACACTGGATCTCTCTCCAAGTGTGCCCAGACACATGTCAGGACTGGCTAGAGTGGAAGGTGACCGTGAGAGGCAGACATGCAGAAATGCCCTCCCACCAGAACTCCACACCATAAGAGAAAATTCATTCTTCATGAGGAAGTCAGGGGCTGTTGGGAAAAGGTTAGATGGTAGCAGCCAATAACCTGACAAATGTCCACAACATCCCATTCCCTCATCCCAAACACACACGGTTGCTCTGTATAGTTTTACACCATTCATTTCCTTCAGAGAACTTCACACACACTAAAATCTGCTGGCTTATTTGTTTGTCTCCCTCTCTAGAATATGAATTCCATGAGTCAGGGGCTTTGCTTGTCTATTCACTGTGGAATCACAGGGCTCAGTACACAGTGGGTACTCCATACCTACTTGTTGAATGAATGAATGTGTCCTCAGATAGTTCTCATTTAAATGAAAATTATCAAATTGATCAGATTTTTAAAATTTAGTTAAAGATGTGACCATCTTACTTTATTAAATTTCTGTTAAGACGGTTTTATATTTAGGTTACAGGTGTATGACTGGGAGTTCAATTATTTTCTGTGATAAGCAGGCATTATTCATGCCACCATTCAACATTCATTTTTCAGATATATGAAGATTGTCTACTCACATTCAAAGGGTTTCCTTAACTCATCTTTTATCTAAATCAGTTAAGTCTCTCTCATAAATGAGAATTATTAAATAAGTGGCTGCTCTCATAAAATAAAGAAGTGACTAGCAGAAATAATCTGCAACTTCTGTGAATAAGCTTTTCCTTAGTGTCTAAAATAATAAATACCTTTTACGGACCAAAGACTATGTGCTACAAGTTTTACAAATTGGTCTCTAGTCCCCTGTTCAGTGTATTATTAGCCCAATGGGAGGGATACTCAGAAAACCAAGGCTCAGAAACAGTAAGCCATGTGTCCAAGGCTTCTTGCTGATGACAAAGCAGGGATCTGAACCCAGGTCAGGCTTACACCAAAGCTCACAATCATTTATTTTCCTATTAAATCATTACCAACTATTCCACTATATCATGTGTGGTCTCTGTATACCATATTTCATCAAATCTAAGATGCTATCAAACTATATCATAATGTACACCACCACCATTTAAACCTATAAAACACCTTCAGTTGGAAGATGTGTCATAATTTCAGCAATGTTAAAATGTGTATGCGTATATACACACTTACACACACACAAATGCATATACATATATACATCTTAGATTCGATAAAATACAGTAATCCACTAGCCTTGGAACAAATTATTTTAAATAAATATTATAAAATATAAATGCCTCTCTGAATTCTTTAGAAAATTAATTTTGCCATGAAGTACAGAAAAAAAAGATAAATCTTAAATATGAACAAAGTTATAGGAAACCACAAACATTTACTTATACATGCTTTCTTTAAAAGTTGTTTCTCCTCATCTGTGGCATGAAAGCACCTTGTTTATTATGTGAAGAGCTGTTGGTATCTTTTCTACCCATGAACACGACCAGCACTTACTCATATTTTCATGCATCCAAGTGCATGAAAAGTCAAAAAGTGGATTTTAAATCTACCTATTTTTCTTAACTTCTGTTTGTTTCCTCTAAAAAGGTAAGGAACGCACACTAACAACAGTTGTAAGAACATTGTTTATTATGTGAAGAGCTGTTGGTATCTTTTCTACCCATGAACACGACCAGCACTTACTCATATTTTCATGCATCCCAGTGCATGAAAAGTCAAAAAGTGGATTTTAAATCTACCTATTTTTCTTAACTTCTGTTTGTTTCCTCTAAAAAGGTAAGGAAAGTAATAGTAGTTTCTCATTTCATACCAAAGAAAAATACACTCTGTTGCTAAAGGCGCAGCTGTAAGTCTCTATAAAATCAAAGACGACCACCAACATTTCTGAAAAGCACTCTCAGTAAAGTTTATATTGGAATGACCGACTACAAATGCATCAATTTTCTGGGCCTCTTCTGATTTCCTCTAAAAGTGCTCATGTCATATGCCCACACAGTATCTATCCCCTCTCCGGTGACATGGTCCGGGATCCAGTGCGGGAAAGGGAAGCGGCAAGCGATGACTCTCGCATCATCCTCAAGTTCGAGTTCAAGTTTCTTTTCCAACTGCGGCATCTGTGGAGAGTAACAGCCACTATTTCAGTGAGCGGTGAGTCAGAGGAAATGCTTCCGAATATCGTCTGTACTTAAGAGTCCCTGAAAACACCCATGAAAAAATTACTATCTATAAAAAAAGATCAAGGCACAAATACATTATCAAACAATCTATTAAAATAGAGAAGACACACTAACAACAGTTGTAAGAACATCTTGCAATATCAGTTTGAAAATACACCATTTTCAGCAGATGTGTATCATAGATTTCCAGTTTTCTGACTAAAAATTATAATATGGAAATAATTAAAATAAGAAGCAGCTTTAAATTATTTACCTACTTAAACATTTCAATATACCCTATAACATATATTTAAGACATAATTTTCTATATTTTTAACATCTCTGAAATCAGGAGACATCATACAATTGACAATGTCTTAGAATTACAATCAGCAACATTTTTTTTCTTTCTCAATGGCAATGGTACATCTTAAAGTCGACATCCAGAGTCAGTGAAATATGGTACAATTAGACACTGAAAAAATACACACATTCTACCAACTTGAAATATTATGAATATTTCATAATTTTTTAAAAAATGTGTCCATAATAGACTAACAATGAATTTCTTGAAAGTCAACCTAACTTATATCACTTTGAAAAAATACACACATTCTACCAACTTGAAATATTATGAATATTTCATAATTTTTTTAAAAATGTGTCCATAATAGACTAACAATGAATTTCTTGAAAGTCAACCTAACTTATATCACTTTTTTATCATTTTATTACCAATCTGCCAATAAAGAAAGGGTTTTTATTTTTTGCTAAAAGCACTGACATTTTAATTACATCGGCAAATTAACAACTACTTAAAAATTTATATGCAGGTCCCAAAAATATATTACCACCTTCACAAACCTAAAAATATGGTTTTTTCCCACTTTTTCTTTTAACTTGTTATTCTGAGATAGCTTCAAATATACAGAAAAGGTGCAAGAAAAGAACAAAGAACTCCCACGCGCCTCTACCCAGGTTTGCCAATTTTTAACATTTTGTCACATTTGCTTTCTTCCTCTAAGAACATTTTTTTTTAAACCATTTGAGAAGAGTTTGCATACAATATGCACCTTTCCCCGCTTAATGCTCCGGTGTGTATTTTCTAGGAAAAAGAATATTTTCTTACAAAATCCCAGCAGTCACCATATTCAGGAAATTTAACATTGTATTCCAACAATAATAATCCCAATAACACTCCAGTTCTGTCTTTGTCCCAATAATGCCTTTTATAACATTTCCCCCAGGGCAGAATCCAGGGCCACTTCTGCATTTAGCTGTAACGTTTCTCTGGTCTCCTTTTATCTTGAACAGTTCCTCAATCTTCCTTTGTCTTTCATGACAAATAACATTCTCCAGTTCTTGGCCCTCAGCTGGGGTTCCTCTGATGTCTGCTGGTGATTGATTCAAAGTGTGTCTCTGCAATGCCCCATCTATGAGGCTGGGAATATCAAGAGGCCCAGAGGCCCAGGAGGCCTTTCTGCTCTTCCTACTGGTGACATTAACCACTCAGTTAAGGTGGAATCTGGTGTCTCCACAGTGTAGTTAATATTTTTCCTTTTATAATGAGTGAGTAGCTTGTGGGAGATACTTTGAGATGATGTAAAAATCCTGTTATTCATCGGACAGTCCCTACACTAGAAGTAGCCTTTATTGATGAATCTAACCTGAATCAATTTTTATTATAATGGTTGCAAAGTGGCAATTTGCTGGATAGTCAGTATTCTTCTGTAAAAAAGAGCTTTCCTTTTCCCTCTTTTCCTCTTTCCATCTTTCTATCCATCTCAAGTATGAACACCTAGATTCTTATTCAATGGGTTCTAATCCATTATGTCCTTGTTCATTCTAATCCTCAGACTGTCCTAATTTGGCCACTGGGAGCCTCTTGCAGCTGGCTTTTCCATCCTTTGGACATGCTCCCACCAAATATTTTGAGCACTTCCTTATATTCTGGCTCAACAAAATGTTCCACGCATTTGTATCTTTCTTCCCCAACCCTGGATCAGCCATTTCTCAAAGATTCCTAGTTCCTTTTGGTGAGAAATAATATTTAGAAACCAAGTTCTAAGCAAACACTGCTCTCTTTAAAATTAACCAATTTAAAGCAAGATAAACAAATCAATATTGCTTCTATGACCTATGTCTTAAAAAAGTGCTTGAAAACTCCTCTATATGACCTATGGACAGATTGAGCCAAAATTCTAATTCTTCATTAGAATTAATACCAATAAAGAATAAATTCCATTAAGGACAGAAGATTTCTATTCTTCTAACAGCCAGCAAAGGATTTTAAAAAATGTTTTGTTCCTTGAGAGAAAAATTAAATGAGCAAAAAATGAGACAATGCACGTTTTTCCAAAATATCAGCTTTCTTATGATAATTTTGTTCATAAAAAGGACAACTGTAAACTTATTCATATTACTATTATTCTTTTCTCCTTTTCAGTTTATTTCAAAATGATTGTCATATGCTAAGTCAAGATAAACCTAAAAATGAAAGAAGCTATTTCAATCATAAGAAATTAACTGATTAAATTACACATAAATATGCAACGAATCTGGTTCCTGATACCATACACAAAGAGAAGCAGTGATATGTCATGTCTGTCTAATGGAATTCAAAATTATTCATACAATTACAGGTTTCAAAGTGACATGAACTCATCATATTCCAATTATATTTTCCAAACTTTAAACATCAGTTGAAACCAGCTTAAAGGCACAAGACACGAGCCATGGCCACCAGCAGCTCTGACCACCTGAACACTCCCTCCTCCCAGAACTCTTGTTCCATTAGCTGCCAGGGTAACGTGCTCCTGGGATGTCCTCCTCCCCCAGGCTCCTCTCTGAGTCTTTTGCTGGCTGCCCCTCATTTCCCAGACCTCTAATGTTAGAGTTCAGAACTCAGGCCATAGACAGCTCCCATCTATGACCTGTGCTCCCCCTAGGTGACTTCAGCCACTCCTGGGGTTCTACACCTGCTATGCACTGATGCCTAACACACCCACATCCCCAGGCCACCCTCTCTCCTGAATCCCAGACTCCTTTTTACCCACAACCACCAGCTTAACATCTCCAATCACACTCAAACTTCACATGCCCGCACTGAACTTCCCCTGCTGGCTGAGTCTTCCCCAACTGGCTCTGCCTGCACCTCTCCCAGCTCCATGCATGGCAACTCCAAACCTCCATTGCTCTGGCCAAACACCCAGGGGCACCCTTGACCTCTCTCTCTCTCTGTCTCTCATTCACCTAAACATCTCCAAGACCTCATGACCTGTCACCTGGCTTCTACCCATGTTCGCCTTCAGTCCAGCCTCCACACAGCAGCCTGTGATCCTTTTCAAACCCAAACGGTCCCTGCTCTCCTCTGCTCACTCCTCTACAGCTCCTGCCCTTCCAAGGACCAGTGTCCTTCACACCAACCTCCACCCGATTGCTGTTTCTCGGCCCCAATGGGCACACACCCCTCAGTACCTTCATCACGGCACTCCTCTGACACACTTCCGCACACGCCCCTCCCTCACCTCCAAATGTCACCATTCCAGGGACTCTGTCCCTGCCCTGCCCTCCCTTGGTTTAGTTTGCTCCATAGCCCTTTCCCCTTCTACTGTGCAATCTATTTTGTACCTGCTCTCCCCGCCAGCATATGAGCACCTCAAGGCAGGGATGTTTTCTGTTTTAGTCACTGAAGTCTTACAAGTGATTAGAGCAGGGCGCATAATGGCCAAACCTGTCCAATTAATGAAGGAAGGAAGGAAGGAAGTGTAAATAATTCAGTCATGAATAACTTTTTTTATCACAACACGATGATAATATTTTCATTCATCAATTCATAACAGAATTCATAACTAAAATTTAATTAGTCGTTCCTCGAAGTTATGAAAGTTAACAGCTGTCTGTGAAAAGTGTAAATAATAGGTATGTTTATACCATATTCATTCATTCCACAAATATTTGCTGAGTGACTACTGTGCTGCTGTGCTGGAGGTCTGGCAGGGAGGAAGACAGCCCGTCCTTGACCTGACAGTGCAGTGCAAAAGGCAAACACTGTCGGAGCCATTGACAAAGAAAGAAATGTACACTAACTCACAGAGTGGAAAACAGGGTGCTGGATTTCACAGCTTCATAGAGGAAAGGACAGCTGGCCTGTGAGTGGTCAGCAGTTATTCACCAACTAGACCCAGAGCAGTGGGGACTGAAGTCAAAGGGAAGGACATGGCCCCAGTCTCGGCAGAGGAGCAGCAGAAGTCCAGGGGTCAAGAGAAGGACAGAGAGCCAGCACAGAGAGCGGAGGGCAGCACAGTCGAGGTGAGGCTTCAGGCAAGCAGGAGCCAGCTGTGGGCTACAAAGAGGGTTTGAGCCTTATCCTGAAATGTGACAAGAAGTCACAAAGGGTTGTAAACAAGAACATGATTCATCTGTTCTGCATTTTGAAAAGATGCTCCTGGTGCATAAGCTCATGTTAAATGTGGATATTTATAATCCTAGCACTGGATTTACCAGATTCAAATGGGACTCTGCACACTATTACCTCGGATACATACTCATATGGAGCTGTCAAGGCACCTCTTATGTCGAGCTACAACTACAGAGACCTGTCAGGAATAATCAGTCGGCTATCAGAAGCAGGGGAGAGGGTTTACAATACCAGTGTTCCTCCTCTGAACTCTATGGTTCCTCCTGGCTCTCCAATTACCTACCTTTGCATTAGCTGACACGGGACACATTTCGTGGCATGCTAGCTATGAGTGGAATATTGACCAGTGGTCAGAGAACAGAAATGCATTTCAATAGAAGAGCAACACAGTCAGGCTCAGACAATAAAACGACTTTCCAAGGGTCACACGACTCACAGAGGGCAGACCTGGCCTCCATCCCCGTCACTACCTCCTCCACTTAGGCGAAGCTTGGTGAAGGCTGACACACAAAATTTGGCCTCCAGCCAACAGAAGCCATCAGGCCCTCTGTGCCCTGATCCACCCACCAGCATGGAAAACCGCAAGCTGGCCAGCCCTCTCCTGTCACAGGGAGTGTGGGTGCTGCGTGTACCTCAGCTGCTCCCTTTTTTCCTTGGGAATAGTGAAATGCTACATGTTCCTTATTTACAATTTCTCTCTGCACAGAAGAAAGGGCAGTAACTGCAAAAACATTCATCAAAATAGTAAGATTCATATTTCCCCTGAATAAACAGCTCCAAAAACTGACTATACATGAGACATGATGATTAGCCCCAGGAGTCAGCCACCACAGGTTACATGGGGACAGTGACTGCCAAAGGCCGCTGCTGCCCCCCACTGGGACAAGGCAGCTGTGGTTTCATTACCCACGTCTCGGTCTGCCGTCCTGCCTCTCCAGACAGCATAGAATTCCCAGTAAATATTAACTTTCTATTTTTATAAAGCATGGATTTCAAATTAAACTTACTTGTCTCCAAAATGCTAACTATCCCATTTTGGATGTAATGTCCAAACATTATAATAAGCAGTGAATCACCATCAATATCCCACATCAATATCCTATATCAATTCTATGAACCAGGGATCAAGCCCTTCTACGTCTCTTCACTTCTGTAACAAAAGTGTAGATACACAAGTTTTGTCTTAATCTTAGGCCAAATAAGATTTACAAACATATAGAATACTGTCATTTTCAAGAATATGTTAAAAATACATTTCTATACTGTCTTGAAAAAATTAAAGAACATGACATTACTCTGCAGGTCCTAATCGTAAGAATAAATTTCTCAAGTATGAAAACTTCTTACATAAAAATTAAGGTATGAATAAGAAAACAAAACAACAAAAAACACATTTTTTTAAAAACAAAAAACCATATCAGTTATACAGTTATACAGTGGAAACATCCAATTCCACCAAGATTATTATAGCTACAATTATAGACTTTAAAAGTGAAAAGAGGTTTCTTTCTATGGTCTGTAAACCAGCAATTACAGTAAAAGCATCCCACCCTGACCATCCCTCCGAAGGCTAAAGAGGACCATTTTCGGTACAATGCTATGGTATTTTCACTTTTGGAAGTACATAATCAAAGTTCAATACTCAGTTCTTTGGCAAATCAGCCAACTGAGGTAAACTGAAACTAGTCAATCCTCCACCCTGAAAATTATCTTCCTGCAAAGTCAGAAGAATGATCAGTTCAGGGAGATCAATCCCATTACTTTCCCAAGTGACTTCAGCTGGGTCAGTGAGCAGCCACGGAAATCGCGAACCACATTAGACACTGGGACCTCATAAAGCAGTTTTCAAACTGGAATTTTTAAGACAGGTAGATCATTTTGAGATTTTTATCTGAAGTAAAAGTTTAAAAATATGACTTAATCTTTTATGATTAAACTTTTAAAGCCCTGAAGTATTTTATTAAACCAACAAACTAAAATCCAACATTCGCTCAAAATCTCTGGGAGGCCATCACTTTGTACATGGCTGAGTGGGGGCCTGGTGGAGCTGGGAGGGGTTCCACGCCACCCAATCCTAAAGAGACAACAGGAAGGTACATACTCACCATCTGAGGCACACCAAAAATAACGACGTTTGAGTACTGCGAGAACGTAACCTAAATGAGATGGGGAAACAACAGGTAGATTGACTGTAAAGAGGCAAACATTAAGCTTAATTTGCTTTAAAGAAATGAGTAGCAATTTTCCATTTTGCCAAATGGTGGGATTTTACAAACTCCTAAGAAGAGTGGCCCTCTTTAAGACTTCACAAAGAAAAGAATACCGTGCTTGCAATTTCATTTGTGTTAGTGCTTTCCATTACAGTCCTCCAATTGCTTCCTTGTAAGTCATCTCACCTCATCCTCAGGGCAACTCTATGTAGGGCACGCCCCAGGGGTCATGTGTCAGAAAGGCCAGTGACTCCCCAGTGAGCAGCTGGTGGTCGAGCCAGCGGCACCCGGGCCACACAGGCCCACTCTGCTCCACTGTACACCAAACCAGCTTAGCAAGAACTCACGGAACTTCAGAACCACCTGTTTTTTTATGTTGAACCATCGTTAAAATTCTAGTTCCCCTCCTCTTCTCTAAAATACTATGCAAAAAATGCAATGAAATGGTCTTTAGTTGAAAAACTGGGGGGCGGGGGAGTGTTTTGCCAGTCAGAATTCTTATTGCCCAATAAAAGTCTTATTTATAGAGAGATCATTTATGTATATATGGCATAAAAAATAATGCAAGCAAAACTCAAATGAATTTTTACAAGCTACTGATGACAATATTACAATGGGCAATTCTTATTTAAGAAAAAGCATTTTATGGAGACTTCCTAAAGCAAAATTACAGGGCATTTCTAGAATAAGATAAATTTTGAAGTATCTTGTACTTCATGAGGACGAGATGTAACCATAACAGCATGGTTGGTGGATTCTTTCTTTTCTCTATCACCCATCTCTGTGTCTCACTAAATACACACACACGCACACACACATGCACACACAAACAAGGAAAAGTATAATATTTATCAAGAATAGGCTGGCTGGTTAGCTCAGTTGGTAGAGTGTGGTGCTGATAACACTAAGGTCAAGGGTTCAGACCCCCTTACCAGCAGCTGCCAAAAATAAATTGAATAAAAATATTTATCAAGAACAATTCATAATTTCCAAATGAGATGAAAAATCTCATTATTTCATAATAAACAAAAATAAGAACATATTGATTTAGTAAATAAATTCTTGGAATTTACATGACCTATCACAGAGAAAACTTCAGGCTTTTCCTCTAGAGTAAAATCTATGAATTTAAGATGTGTACACGTTTCATTATGCAAAAATATTCACTTGGATTTTAATTACTTTTCTTTTAATAAATGTATTAGTTCATTCCTGTTGCTTATAACAAAATACCTGAAACTGGGTGATTTATTAAAAAAATGAAATTTATTGCTTACAGTTTCTGAGACTGGGAAGTCCAAAGTCCATCTGGTGGTGGCAACAGTGACCCAGGGGTCTTGCGTTGCAAGATGGTGGAAGCAGAGAGAGCAGAGAGACAGACTCTCTTCTTTTAAAGCCTTCAGAACCACACCCCTAACCACCATTTTTAACCCATTCACTACTGCACGGTCCTACAATCCAATCACCTCTTCAAGGCTCCACCTTTCAATTACCATAATAGGATTTCCCACCCTCTTAACAGTCACAGTGGGGGCTAAGTTTCTAATACATAAAACTTGGGGAACACAATTCAAGCTTCAGTGAGTTTTGGGGGGACACAATTCAATCCACTACAATACATTTTTCAGTATTCAGTCATACTAACTATGTATAATAAAATTTTCAGTTGAAATTTTCTAGAACCATTCTCTACTTTACATACCTTCCACAAATCTGAAATGTAAAATTTGGCGGATCCATGCACACCTTCTCGCCAAGCACGGTATCTGGAGTACCAAACTAGCCATGGATTTAATTCATAACCAACAGCTGTGAATCCTTCCTTGGCAGCTGCTATCACCTGTGCAAAGAAACCGGGATTTATCCAAAATGAGAAAAAATCAACTTGCATGGTCAAATGATACAAATATTTCCTATTTATGGCTTATAATCCTAAAACATTAGGATTATATTGTTCCTTAGTATTTAATGATTGTTCACTCAAAATTGAAAACAGGTAAGAGTAAAATGGGCCCAGTCAGAATAAGGCCAACTGTAGAATCTGTATGATGGGGGGATGAGGGGTGGTCCTGGGGTCCCCCTACCCATTCTGTCTTGCCTCCACTCTTCAAGGGAGCCTCCCTTGACTGATCCATCCCACCTAAGGTAATTTCCCCAATTACTATAGAGCCACAAGGAAACCATTTTCTTAGAAACTAGAAAGATATTGTTCAAATATGTAAAGCATTCAAATAGGTGAAGCATTCAAATACGGATTTAAAAACCTCCTCCTGATTAATACGTATGTCTCCTGATTTCTCAAAAATAAACTCTAGTGGTTTCCAGAGGCTACAGGAAGGAAGAAAAGGGGTACAGAGTTTCGGTTCCACACAATGAAGAGAGTTCTGGAGATGGGCGGTGGTGATGGCTGCACAGCAGTGTTAATGTTCTTAATACCACTGAACTTTACACCTAAAAACGGTTAAGATGGTAAATACTATGGCATGTGTATTTTACCACAATTTAAAAATTTTAAACATTTAAAAAAAAAATTTAAAAACCCTAGTCACCTTTTAACCTCTTCCTCACTATTCCGGGTCACAATCACAAAATCACAGGGTCTATGTCGACCAGGGCTGGTGAAACGTAGTGTGACCCTGCTGGTTCCACACTCAAGGCTTCCAGAACACCAGCCTGTCCTACCGCTGTCCTCACTTATCGGTCATCATTGGGATGAGGCCTAAGGAAGGTGCCACCTGTCCACGGAGGAACATGCTCTAAGACACCAATTTGCCAGTCAGTGTCCTTGTGTCTTTATTTATAGGTTCCTGGCTGGGGTCAAAGAAAGTTAAGGTTGGTAAAAGTCTAATCTTTGGCTAAGTAGGGGTTAATCAGTAGGGCTCTTCCTTATTTCTTCTACATGTATGGGTAGAAGCAAATGTATAAGTAGAAGCAAATGTAGAAGCAAGCATCTACGGTACAAAAATGTAAAACAGTGAGACTCCATTATTTAACATGTTTCTTCTAATTATGCGACATCTACTTGCCCAAGCAGATGTCGCATAATTAACAGACAATTTGATAATCACCAATTAATTGCTCTTTTTCACCTGGCATGTATACAGAGTACTTTTTCCTTTAAGAAAAAATTAAATCTGAGAAAAATGAATTCCAAACACATGCTGGTGGTTTTGAACAAACACAAAATGAAACAGACCACTTTTTCAGTGTTAGATTGAGCAATTCTTTGCCTAAGCCTCATAAAAAATGTAAAGTGGGGCTGGCTGGTTAGCTCGCTTGGGAGAGCACAGTGCTGATCAAACCAAGGTCTAGAGTTCGGATCTCTGTACAGGCTAGCCTCCAAAAAAAAAAAAAAAAAAAAAAATTAGAAAGAGATGTAAAGAGGAAATTTTAACAGTTCTGGCTCCAAACCTTAAAATGTTTTAGCGTAACTCACAATGCGTCCGTCGCCACTACCAATGTCCACCAGGGATCCTCTTCTGCATCGCAACATTTGCACAACATTTTCAACCTGCCTTGTAGTTGCAGGTACAAAAGGCAAGCATATTTTTCGGAGGGCTGGTGTTATAAATGGAGTAGCTAAAGCATACACAGCCACTACTGTCCCACCAATAATCCCAGTAAATAAGAACCCCCAATTGCTTTTCTTCAAACTGTTGGCTTCAAGACTTGTAGGTAGAACATGTTTTAACTGACTTTCTTCTTCGAGCATTTCTGGGGGTGTACCTACATTGAGAGCAAGTAGAAAACACATATATAGCACCAAATCTGAAATCCAAGATAGTGTTTTTTTTCAATAAACTCATGCTTCTTTAAAGAAGTATAATTTAGCTTAATATAATCTAAATTACAAGTATGACTCCACAATGAGTTCTAAATTCCATTAACAAAATTAAAATGTTTTGAAGAAAACTATTCGACACTAATGGAAGACTAAAATCTTTTCTTTCCAACATATTGATTTTTTGTGTGTCTAAGAGTCATCCTTAGAAAATAATGTATTCTTTTGGATACCCACACTGGCCAGCCACAAAAAAAAAAAAAAAACAATGTATTCAAACTTACCTGGTAATTTATGAATTCAATATCCACTAATACAAGTTTTAACCATGAACTCCATATTTTTATGTTCTTACAAACAAATAAACATAAAAATGTCTAATTATTACCCTATTTCAAATAGGATGAAAGGATTCTGCAGCAAAATTAGTCTGGTACCTGTAATAGAGTTGCACAGATACAATTTGAAGTAACAGAGGAGACAAAAATGAGGTTTTGCCAAACACCTTAAATAAGCATGGTAATAGAGATTTTTTAAGCAGGTCCAAAAAGAACAAAAAATTAAAATCAGAAGTTAGAAATAAAGCAAACTCCAATCACTGATTACTGAGAAATAAATAATACCTTAAAAATCTTCCTCTTGAATTGGTAAAGGGACATGAAAATCAACTACACTGTATATTGATAAATTAAAATTTAAAAAAAGAAAAAGAAAACTAAAATAATATTTTTAAATAAATAAATAAATATCTTCCTCTTGAGTTTTATCCTTTAAAACACATTCTTGCAGAGTCTCAAGTTTTTGAAATTGATATCGATTTGAATTGATTTTGAAATTGATTAATGACGAGCACTGTACAGGAGGTAAGCGCTGGACTCCTCTGGAGCCAACTGAGGTTAGGATCCCGGCTCTGCCACTTCTCTCACGGTGTGACGCTTCTCACTGAACCTCAGTTTCCGAGTCTGTAAAGTGGGGGTCAGGGTTGTGAGGATGAAACCAGCGGATGCAGGTAAAGCACTCAGAACAGGATCCAGTGCATGGGAAGCAGAGGCATGCACCGTGTCAGCTGTTGTTATTATTTATACACTGCAGTCTACACGCTGAACCCCACAGGGAACAAGATCATCTCATCCAGGTGAGGGATAAGACCAAATGCACATGAAACCACAGGAAACAGGAGTGAGAAGGGGGAGGACAACAGATTCTTGTCATTCTCGAACATTTCTATTCTAATTTCATGATCAGCAAGCCATTGCAAAGGCCCACTGTGTTTTTTTCCTGTAACTGATGTAAGAAATTACCACAAACCTAGTGGTACAACAACACATATGGATCATGATGCAGTTCTGGAGGTAATAAATCTAAAGTGGGTTGGCAGGGCTGCATTCCTTCTGGGGGCTCTAGGGTAGGATTGGTTTTCTTGTCTTTTCCAGCTTCCAGAGGCCGCCCCCATTCCTTGAATCCTGACCCTACATCACTCCAACCTCTGCTTCAGTCACGACATCTCCTTATCTCACATTCCTGCCTCCTTTTTCTTTTTTTTTTTTTTTTTTGGCAGCTGGCCAGTATAGGGATCACACCCTGGACCTTGGTGCTATCTGCACCACACTCTAATCAACTGAGCCAACCAGCCAGTCCTCTCCCACTTTCTCTATAGGGACCCTTGGGATAACACTGGGCCCACGCAGACAATCCAAGATAATCTCCTATCTCCAGACCCCTAATCACATCTGCACAGGTTACAGGGTTAGAATGTAGACATCTCTGGAGGGGCCACTGTTCTGCCCGCCATATCCATGAACTGTGGCAATCTATTCTGGCAAGATAGAAATTTGAGTCTGCTACTGATGCTAGTGATGGTTTAGGAAGGTGATGATGTTTGATAGAAAGCAAAAGCTTTGAATAATTTCGTTATCATTTTAGCATTACATGGAAGAACTTATATGCTATGGTAATAGTCACACATCTGATTATTGAAGAAAAGTCAAGGCACATTTGTCATGCCTTGTGTAAAATTATCCTGTGGGCATTCCAACTGCACAGTACAGTAGTTAAGAGGATGTGAGTCACACAGTTCTAGAGTCTCAGAACTTAACTAGTTGTTTAACTTACATTAGGTAAGTTGTTACTGAGGCATGGTTTTCTCACCAGTAAGATTTAAAAATAACTAAGTTATGTTGTTAACCACAATTGAAAATTTTTTAAAAAAATTAGTAATACTATCCTCATGGGATTACTGGAACAGTTAAATAAATAATGCATACAAAGCACTTAGCACAGGCCTGAGAACTAAGTGATGACTGTTGACTGCTATTATTACTCTCGATACTATCATTTTGAGGGAAGGAGCTAAAAACTAGCAGTTTTACTGAAATCTAATTGATGTACATATAATTTGCCCATTTAACGTGTAGAATTCAATAGCTTCTAATATATGTATAGATATGTACAACCATCACCAGTCAATTTTAAAACATTTTCATTACTTCAGGAAAAACACTTTATCACTTAGCTATAACCCCCCTATCACCCTCCATCCCCAGCCCTAACCAACCACTAATCTACTTTTTATCTTTACAGAGTTCCCTATTCTGGACTTACTGAGTGGAATCACAGTATGTGGTCTTCTGTGACTCACTTCTTTCACTTAGCATAATGTCCTCAGGATTCATCCATGTTGTGTCTTGTATCAGTACTTTACTCCTTTCTATGGCTGGATATACAGATAGCCCACATTATGTTCACCCATTTGTCCACTGACAGTTTATTAACGAGTCAGATGATCCCAATTTCATTTCACCTGTGTAGACATGTACACTTCAATTCAACCAGCTCTTCAATAAAGAGCTCTCCGTCTTCAGGGTCTCCCAATTAGCCTGTGTGAGCGGTGGGGTCCAGCTGAGGCAGATACAGGTCAGGTTGTGAGAAATGCTATAACGTGTACAAAACACTGTGGGAATGTGGGAGGAGGCAGAGGGAAGAATGATCCCAGCGATGGGACCAGTTAAGGTGTTGACAGAGGGAGAGAATTTGAGCTGGGGGCAAAAGAATCAAGCCTTTGACCCAAGGCGTGGAAGGTGGGGAAAGCCTTTGCTGAACCCAGTGTGAGATAAACAGGAAGGCAGGTCCTTGAATACCAGGCTGAATATGTCTTTTGTTCTATGGGCACTGTGATGAAACTTTTTGAGCAAAGTCACTACAATATTTCTGTTTTTAAGAAAGGCAACACCAACAGCAGGGCATCCCTTGATGAAATCACTGAATTTTCTGTATCAAGTTTTTATGGCTACAAGTCTAACAACTTCACAAAGATTTGTATGGGGAGAGCAAGACCCATGCCCATTACCTGAGCTTTAGAAGAAGGTACTATGTAAATATAGCATATGACTATATTGTCAGCTCTGTTCAGTAAAAAATGTATTGACTTTTATCTGTGAAAACCACTTCCCAACATTCAATACTGAAATCAAGACTGTTTCTATGGATCCTTTTAATGGATGGTGTTTAGATTCACAAAACTCTGGTATTTACTATAACAGATAAATGGGAAGAGGTTTCTGTCAGATGTGCTCTTGGGAACATCGAGCTATTCTATTAAATAAGAGCTGTGGTGGCTACTGGCTATTTTTGTTGAGCAATTAGGAGGACTCCATCCTTCAAAGTAAAGGACAGGGCGAGGTTAACTTCCATTTATTGTCCCCAGGGTCTGCCTGGTTATTGACTTCTGAAACTGATTGAAAACCTCAATTCTCAGTGACAGATTTGGATCAGCTGAAGCTAGAGGCAGGGACTGAGATGTACAAAAAGGTAGACAGGGTTCTTATGTAAGTTTGAGCCACAGGAAAAATGCCAGGAAGAAAGAAGGGGCCTGTGTGTAATTTTGACCAGCCACATGTTTAAAGTGGGGTTTATATTTGAATGTCACAATACTTATGGGCTGTCACTGTGCACATACATATTAGTTTAATAACTACAGCATGTTACATCCCTCTAACATATGTTCTTATGTTCCTTAAGAAGACTTTCTTGCAATAATGTCATTTGCATCCTTTTACTATGCATCAGCTTTCGATACGAGGAAAAATCCACCACCACCTCCCCACCCACCCCTCACCCCCCGTGTTTTGACAGGAAATAAACTGCATAAAAGATGCCATTAGACATTCTCTATTCTTCACAACAATCCAATGAGCCGGAAAGATTGCAGAATTCACCATTTTTGAATGAGGAGACACTGAATCGGCAAAGCTAAAGTGAAATGAGACTTGATTCCAAAACCTAAAATGTCCTTGGAGCATCTCTCTTAAGCCTCGCGAACAAGTAGGCCAAGCATCAGGAGAGGTTAACTGTTCATCAATCATCCAATAACAAAGGTATTTCTTGATTTTCGGGCCAAGGCTGTGTTAATAATGCCATGCATTGCATTCATTTCAACATGTGTGCGTACCTAATAAAGGCTGGGATGAATACCAGCGGTCCCTGTCCTGTGGCAGGTGGGCTGAAGGGAGGCTGGAAACCAACAACAAATATATCTAAGCCTATAAAGTATTAGGTCCTGGGCCGGCCCGTGGCTCACTCGGGAGAGTGCGGTGCTGATAACACCAAGGCCCCGGGTTCGGATCCCATATAGGGATGGCCGGTTCGCTCACTGGCTGAGCGTGGTGCTGACAACACCAAGCCAAGGGTTAAGATCCCCTTACCGGTCATCCTTTTAAAAAAAAAAAAAAAAAAAAAAAAGTATTAGGTCGTGATCTCTGAAGAAAAGCAGCAGAAGGAATGTAGAGGAAAGGATACACTCTAGCTAGGGGTGACAGGAAAGATCTTCCTGAGGCAGCACAACACAGGCTTAAGAGTGGGACCCTTGATGCTGCTAGATTGTACAACTTATGCTTGGGCAAGTTACTGAACCATTTGTGCAGAATGGGGGTTTATTTAACACACACTTGATCAGAGTCACTGTTCTCCCTGAATCGTTACCGTAGCCCTGCAAGGTAAATACTTTGTAATTACAGCCATTTGCAGACAAGGAAACTGAGGCACACCGAGGTTAAGTAACCTTACACGGCTAGTAAGTGGCAGAGCTCTGGTTCCAACCCAGGCAGCGTGACTGCAGTAACTCCATCTCCTAAGATCGTGCTAAGGGCTGAGTCGTCTGCCCTCAAACCCTAAGCGTCCCC